GACTGCTTTAGAAAGAAGGTTGTAGTTTATTGAAGAGGAGAGCCAGACAGAAAGATGGCTCTAGCAGAAAAAAGAGAGAGAGAGAAAAAGGGCTGAGCACATGTGGGGAGTGTGTTTTTATACCCTCTGGAGCCTTTTGTTTGGAGTTGCTTCCTTCTTTCATTGCATGTTGTGTTAAAGAACCCATGTTTTTTATCTGGAGAATGACAGAATTCATGTACAAGACACCAAAAATCGTAATGATGGCATAATTGGATAATTCATGGGGGATAGCATATCAAATTAAAATGGTTACATTTTGTTTCCCTTGTAGGGCCCATATGGAGGTGGTGGACACGGAAGTATGGTTAGTAGCTTTTGTTTATTACTTGCTATTCTATTGGAAGAAAAGTCTTCATCATGGTTCTGTCCAAGCTGGGGATAAACAACATGGTGACTGCTTTAGAAAGAAGGTTGTAGTTTATTGAAGAGGAGAGCCAGACAGAAAGATGGCTCTGGCAGAAAACAGAGAGAGAGAGAAAAAAAGGGCTGAGCACATGTGGGGAGTGGGGTTTTATACCCTCTGGAGCCTTTTGTTTGGAGTTGCTTCCTGTGGCATGAACTTTGACCTGAGTCTGAGTGTGCCCTTTGGTATCTCTGTGTTAATCCTATTATGTCCTGTCTTAGAGTTTTGCTGGGGTATGTAGATTTTAGGTGTCTTTGTCGTCATGATCTTCTAGCTGGGGCCTCCATCTGCATTTCTACAGAGCTGGTTTCTGCTTGGGGGAGGGAGACCTGGGGCTATCAAGAAAAACTGGGCATGCCTTTCTGCCTCTTTAAGATCCTTTGAGGAAATATATTTTCCTGCCCTTTTAACAGTTCCTTCTCTGGGGAGCTGACTTCCCACATAGCTTTGCAGGATGAGAATGTTCCAGTTATACTAGCCATGTTGTGTTAAAGAACCCATATTTTTTTATCTGGAGAATGGCGGAATTCATGTACAAGACACCAAAGATCGTAATGATGGCATAATTGGAGAATTCATGGGGGATAGCATATCAAATTAAAATGGTTACATTTTGTTTCCCTTATAGGGCACGTATGGAGGTGGTGGACATGGAAGTATGGTTAGTAGCTTTCGTTTATTACTTGCTATTCCTTTCTTCATATTCTTTTTCCAGCTGAACTTGCACCCCTTCTATCCTTATTCCTCACACATTAAAGCATCTCCAGATTCCCAGAGAATAACTACAGCAAATAGGGCCAAAGTCATGGGTCTTATTAGAGTAGAACAGTTACATTTTGTTTCCCTTTTAGGGCATGCAAGGAGGTGGAATGACAGTAAGTAACTTTTGTTTATTTTCTGCCATTGTTTTTTATATTTTTCTTTCATCTGAATAAATCCTTCTCATATCCTTTTCTCTCCTTCACTAAACGCATCTCAAGGGTACCTGGAGAACAACCACAGCAGGCAGAGCCAAAACATTTGGCCTGTGTGGGACACTAAAGATGTTAGTGATAGCATAGTTGGAAAAATCATGGGTGATATTATAGAAGATTAAAATAGTTATATTTTCTTTCCCTTTTAGGGCATGCCCGGTGGTGGAATGGAGGTAAGTAGCTTTTCTTTATTCTCTGCCATTCCTTTCTTCATATTCTTCTCCCCTCTGAAGAAGTACTTCTCCTATACATTTCTCCCCTTCACCAAAAGCATCTCAACAGTGCCCAGAGAATAATCACAAAATGTTTGGTCTGTTTCTACCTTCCTTTCCAATA